TCAAAAAATATGAAATGAAACCGTCCTTTCGTCACTACAATGTAATGAATTTTTTAAATGATATGTTGGAATATCGACAGTAAGTTCAAGAATAGTGGTAGTTTTATTGATAATAATTATATAGTAATAACATCCTAACATTTATTTCAGAACCGTAACGTCTTTAAGATCAATGTGTGAAGAGCAAGCTTCAAGTTGCAACAGCATTCCTTCCACATCAACAAGCAGCGTGGATGATGTTCTGACTCCTATCACTGATGATAATACTTCCACATCACTGTCTCCAGTCTTACCGAAATCACGAAGTATGAATGTTTATTATACGCAACTTACATTAGCGAATGAATAATAATTAATTTATATATTTTTTTGTTGCAGAAAAAAAGATAATAATTCTTTACACTTTCCAAAGCAACCATGTGAAATCTGTCCACTTTTATCACGCCAAATAATCCAGCCACAATATCCACATTTGAATTTCTCCTAATCAATAAAATATATTACATACAATTGTATCTGTTTTTAAATTTCTATTATATATTATAAGAACAACTTAACCTAATCTATTTTATGAGTTTCATGTTAAATAATTGAATTTATGTGAAAACATACATAGTGTTTTAATATATATATTTATTTTTATACAATAATAACGTACCGATGACGACATTGCTTTTTATTTCCTTCCAACAGCTTCCAAAAATGCACGTACGTTGCAAAACGAATAAACAAACGGACACTTCGCGAATTTTTCATGTCGATAGGTTAGAAATTTTTCCGTTCCGTAACAGTTCCGTGCCATGGGGAACCCAGTGGTTAAAAGCGGAACGGAATTAAAACGGAATCATTCTGATTGGCTACTTTCCATCTAGTTTCTTTTCCGCTACTGTTCCGTTCCGCTATTTCTTCCTTCGTCGGGATGCACCCTTAGAAATACATGCTTTATGCTGTTAGCAAATAATTAAAAAACCACAATTCTGTCATAGTTTTGTTTAATTTATTTATGAATTATTTTTAATATATTGTATAAATATATTTTTACTTTATATTTAATTTATTGCAAGTAGTAAATTAATTTACAGTATAAAAAAGTAAAATATTATTGGAAACTGAGTATTGCATATCACATAACATAGTAAAAATGATAAAAAAAGCAAGTTTATTAAATTATTAATTAATGAAATTATAGATGTTCTAATATAGATGTCTTGCTACTTTTGGGTTACTTACAGCCGAATATGCTGTCCGGTTTATCAAGAAATTTTAGCATTTTATATATATATAAACTTAAAATTCTAGTATTTCATTGTAATTTGTGTTGCATTCTTTGCACATCTTTCCTGTTTTCTTTTCCTTCTTTTTTTCTTATTTTTTTACTCATGATTTTAACATGTTTAACAACTTTAACGATACAAAATGTACCCTCTCGATTTATTATCAAAATTTTTATGCGGCTTGATGAATAACTCGAAGAGCTCCATTCTAATAAATTTGCTTTGTGCGAAATCGACTCCAAAGTATTCTAGCAATCAAATATATTCCATACTTGACCGCGTGACAAAATAACTATTATGCAATATTTATAAATATAAAACGCAGAATTAAATATAAAAATAACTTTAGCAAATTAAATTTGTATACAAAAAAACTCAAGAATTATTATGTAATATTTAATTACATAATTAGTAGAATAAGTTGATACGAAGTAATTATCGTTATTTTTGTTGAGTATACTTTATCCCTTATTATTTAAATAAAAAAAGGGAAAATTTTCTTTTAATAAAAAGAAGTATACTTTTTATTAAAAATACATCTTAAATGTGTAGGTTTGGAATATTTCCACTGGTGCTTGCACTTTTACCGCGTTCCGTTTCGGTAGTGTTCGATACCGAATAGTCTACAATCCCGCCGTAAAGCGCGTTACTCGACGCTGGTTCGGGGAGACTTCGGGGTGGAGGATTTGCGGGGTTGAACATTCCTGAAGAAAGAGGGAAAGACGTGGTCAACGTGGGACAATCTGACGATCCACCACGTACTACGCAACGTGCAATGCAACAAGGTATCGTCCTGACGTTGTGGCTACGTCAACGTGCGGATGGGAGATACGGGACTCGATGACGATGCGCCGTGACGAGATACGGCAGAGGTTATGAGTGTACTTGTGGCTAATCATCCCGCCCTTGGAACACGAACGATAATCGCGAAGAATACACATCTCTGCTCATTTATCGGTGTTTCCGTGAATAAAGACCATTGCAATTGATGCTGCGTGCATTTGTAAAAGAATCGGAGGAGAGGAGAGCGGTCGGAAGATAGCGGAAGTTTGCAGTGAGTGGTGTCGCTCGAACTTTTGTTTATTTGAAGTGGTTCGAGTACCACGTGGCGCGTTCACGAAACGCCATTTGGGAAATTCTTTTACAGAAAACTTTCGGACATAAACGGAAACGATAACTTCTCCCGAAGTGTTTATGTGCGTTGCGTGCGCTAAAATCGCGACGCCATTTTCGTTTGCTCGAGTGACGTGAGACTAGTCATCGGGACGTGACTCTAGTGTGTTTCGTTGCCCCCCGACCCCCCGCTGGTCTACATCGTGATCGCGTGAGGTACGCATCGTTTACGGGTTTCGAGCGAGTTGTGTGTACATACATATAAATGGCGTCGGACGAAAGATGGTACTTCACGAAAGAGCAGTTAGCAAATTCACCGAGCAGAAGATGCGGCATCGACGCGGACAAAGAGCTGAGTTATCGGCAGCAGGCTGCAAATTTCATTCAAGATATGGGACAAAGACTAGTAGTGTATCCTTTACAAATACGCAACGTGTTCGACGTTTAGTTACACTCTTCTAGATCTTTTCCCCTCTCCTATTCTGTATCTTTTTCTGTTTATATTTTTAACGGCACATCGAATGTCATTGAATGTCAGTAAAAATCGTACATCGCGTTCGTATTCCGACTCTCGAGCATATTGTTTGGATCCTTGTTAAGATGACCTTTAATCCGCATGGCCTGAACGGGCGACGCGCGGATACAGAGGATTCACCATGTTGGCGTGGTGTGCATTACAGGTACTGTAAATGATCTTTCTTGTGAATTCCCGCAACGGAAAAAAAGAACTTTTTTCACTTGTGCACGAAGATACAAGAACGAGTGGAAAAATGAAGCTTTAAAGCAACACATAAGTGTTGGCCAAAACACATGTGTGTTGATTGGCGATGAAAAAGTAATGGACATAATGATTGAGAAAAAATGAAAGGGAGATTGGGCAAGGAAAGACTAAGCAATGTTCTTGTTGATCGAGTTTCTTAGAACAAATCAGAAGTTTAATACATGTTTTGTGGATGTTCTCCTTAACTTAAGTTTCATCTTTGGCGTATATTTTGTACGTCCTAGGTACAAGCTAAGTTTTAAGTGTTTAACTTTATTTTTTAAACACAATTGTTCTAGTTTTTATAAAAACTACTTCAAAGATACTTGCTATTCTTTCAACGTAGCTCTATCTTTGCATATCATTCAACAATTTATCAAAATAAATTTCACAGCGTTCTAAAAGTTTTCTATCTATTTTTGGAACTTTTACAGTGAATCTTGTTACTTAAAAGTTTAATAGTGAATTTCATAATTTACTCAAAACTTTTTTAGTAAATTTTTATGATTTTGTAACAAGTCCTTATAATGAATGGTGGGAACAATGCATTTTTATTATATTTAACTAAAGATTTTTGTGTTAAAATTTTTGATAACTTGTATTTTACGTTTCTTTTTACAATAAGTAAATAGTAAAATATAAATTAAATATAATAATAGTAACATGTAAATAATCAAATTGCAGTAAATTGTTTTTATATCATTATAAATTAAATTTTTAGGAATGAGAAGAAATATCAACTTAATTCACCTAACTCCACTCAACTTCACTCTGTGTAATCTGAAAAAAAAAATCTAAATAAATTATTTTATGTGATCTATTGTATCTTCTATTTTCTAATCTTACCATTTAATTTAATTACATCAATATTTTAATAAAAAATTATATTAATTTTTTTTCCATTTTTTTTTAATTAAATAGCATTTCTACAGGACTTTCTTTTATATTACATTGTTTGAATTTAAAGGAAAAAGTAATCTGATGAAAACTTTTGTCCTATCGAGTCTATGCGCTGTACAGAGATAGTACTGCAAATGAAAGATAGCACAGTCTATCTTTGCGTATGTGATATCCTCGTGGTAAAGCAACAAAGTCAACAGTGTTGTTATAATTAGGCTCTTCAAAGATACTTTGGGAAGATCGTTTTTCGAAGATCGTTTATAATACTTGATAATGCCACCTATTTTACAAAATATCAAAAACATTTGTTACATCAATGCATATTATATATAAATATCAATATAAGATTATCATGTCTGAGATGTGTATTGGTATATATGCATTTTTAGAAAACGGTTGATATATGTATACCTTATTTCTTTATTTCTTTTTTTTTAAACAGTGATTTTTATTTCTTCCTTCTTGAAATGAAGATATATGATTTTGCACAATAGAGAGAATAATATTCTAAAATGTTTTATTCAATATACTAGGGCAAATAAAAATGTTTGTATTTTATAAAATGTATCCTGTAGAAACAGTTTGCAATATCTTTTCTTTTCATGTAAGGTAAAAGGCAGGATACACAAATATTTTCTACCTTTGATACAACTTTTGGCATATCTACCTTTAATATAAGGTTTTGACAATAATAAATGTTTAAGAGTGATAACTAAAAGCTATTTTAAATTTTAGAGCTGCTTATTTAAAAACAGTAAATGTAAACAGTAAATGTTCCTAACATGTGCATCTAATCAATAATCTATATGTGCAAAATGTATATCTCATTTGCAACTAATCCTAAATTATATATATAATTTATATCCTAATCCCATCCTGATATACAGTTTTATTATAATGTTACTGTGAGTAATTGTCAAAGTATTACGAGATTAAAATTTTCCTTAATGAGAATATATAGGTCGCAACTGTGCATCAACACGGCTATAGTCTACATGCACAGGTTCTATGTGTTCCATTCGCTAACGCAGTTCCACAGGAATGCGATTGCGGTCGCGGCACTTTTTTTAGCGGCAAAAGTGGAGGAACAGCCGCGAAAATTAGAACATGTCATCAAAATGGCATACATGTGCCTCCACAGAGAGCAAGCACCACCTGACAGCAGATCAGAAGTAAGTTTCAGTGTCAATTCACATTGAAGATATTTATCTTGTTTAATCCATGATTCTATCATGTATTTTACTTATAGCAATTTCTCGAACAAGCCCAAGATCTAGTGTTCAATGAGAATGTCCTACTACAAACGTTAGGATTTGATGTGGCAATAGATCATCCACATACTCATGTTGTTCGTTGTTGTCAACTAGTGAAAGGTATTTATACTAGTATTATATTGTTTATACTAGTATATTACTGCAGAATAAAGGTAAATAAGGCGGATTTATGTACTGTAAGTTATATATGCACCTGATAACCAACCTTCCACGGTTGGATTAGTAAACGCTTTCTCGTATTCATAACACTATAAAAGATTAAACGTAAGAGATAAAAAATAAATAACAAATTATATAATACGAAATTTATCAATAAGAATGTAACTTTTGATTTGAACTGATTTGACTGATTGAATAGTGATGAACTGAATGATCCAACATTTTCTTTAATTAATCCAAAAGTTGCATGCCATATCTATGATACCTAGAGTATCGTAATTCATTGAATTTTTTTCAATAACAAATCTGATTTTTCTTTTATGATTCACAGCGAGCAAAGATCTAGCGCAAACTTCATACTTTATGGCATCTAATAGGTAACTACACGTTAATTTCTGAAGCTTTTTACAAAACGAACACAACTAAATTTTTATTATTTCTATTTAAAAATAACAAAACTATTTTTTTTTACTTTTAAAATACTTTATTTATATATATGTTTATATATAATTTATTTATATATATATATAATTTTATTTTTTTAGTTCTTATTTCTTAAAATGTATATCCTTTTTTTCATACGACTTCTTTTTTTCAGCTTGCATTTGACGACAATGTGCTTACAATATAAACCGACAGTTGTAGCATGTTTCTGTATTCACCTTGCCTGCAGATGGTCAAACTGGGAGGTAATAAAAATTACATATCTAATGAATATTCGTGGATGAATTTGATACGTATATGAATTTGGCATGTAACAAAAGTCGTAATATAAAAATCGCAAAATAATGTCACATTTATCTCGTCTCTGCCGATATATTTCGATTTACGATTTCATTTCTCTTTTGCATCAACACGTATTGATATGAATTTTAACGATTCTTTGTTATAGATACCTCAAAGTACTGAAGGAAGACAGTGGTTCTGGTATGTCGATAGAACCGTGACGTCGGGCCTTCTTCAGGAGCTCACTGAAGAATTTTTGCACATATTCGACAAGTGCCCGTCGAGATTAAAGAAAAAGATCATGAGCATCTCGGCAAACCAGAGCCCAAGTAGTCACCCACCGAGTCTCTCAAATTCTCCATTCGTAAGTAACTCGCAACACAGAATATACAATTGCAATTTTAATTCCAGATTTGTTTGTTTCTCTTTTATCCTGTTCGTCTATTCCATGGACATGTTCTAATCCATTTTTTTTTTTCTTTTTGACAGGATGCCGAACCGCGTAAAGTATCTCCGGCGACAATGGACGGCGCTTCTACTTCCGGTTCTGCCGGCTCCAGCTCGAATCTAGCCTCCTCTCTCTCTGCTGCGATTGCTGCCTACTCCAATCGCTCTCATCACTCGCAGGAGAAGCAGGATGAGAAGAAATCCGGGGCTGGCATGGGATCATCGACGTCGCGAGCGGCTGTCGATTATCGAGAGTATCGCGAGAAGAAGGAGCGCGAACGTCTCGAGCGGGAAAAGGCGGCGGCGGCGATCGGATGCCACGTCGCCGATCCCAGCAAATCCCATCACTCGCATTTGCACAAGACCGCGTCGAGTGCGAGTGTGCCGAGCAAGCACCAGGTGCCGGTGCAAAAAGGGTCGAGCCTCCATCACAATCACTATCATCGACCCGACATGAAGGTCGGCCAGCCGGTCCCGCAGAGGCACTCTACCAGCGGCCAGTCCAGAGAGCCTAGTCGCGATCCGAGCAGACAACGATTGTCACGGGAACATGCGGCCGGTATCGCTCACTCGTCGCACTCCCACGGCAATCTGGACAGCTCCTCGTCCGAGTCTGCGTCCCACAGGACAAACGGCGGCGCCACGCAGGATTCCACGTCGTCGCTGCACGGTAATCTGCAGGAAAAAATGAGTAACAACAATTATAGTGGGCACAGACTGAACGCGCTCGATAAACACCAGACGCACGACAAGAGGATGTACCGTGTCGAGGATCCGCGACTCAAGTCCGCGAAATATCCGGACATAAGCAAGATCGAGAATCAACGGCGAAAGGCGGAAACTCTGGAGCAGAGGTCCGAGGAGGTGCGGAAGCTGATCGAGAAACCGTTGCCGCCACCGAAGCAGGCGGACGTGCCGTACCTGATAAATGCGCAAGCACAGAAGCAACAAGCGCATCACTCCAAATACAGCCAGCAGGACAAGTCGCAGAGCAGCTCGCTCGCGGTCGACGCGAAGCATCTTGCGGCGACCGGTCAGAACGCACTCTCGCAGGATAAATCGCCGAGCGCGCTCGTGTCCGCGTCGTCGTCGCAGGTGCCACAGAAGTCACAGGCGCCAAAGACACAGATGTACAATCAACATACCGCGCAGAATGTATCGCAGATACTGAAGGACACTATCAAGAACGGCAATTCCCAGTCATGCCTAAGCCTGAACAATATGGACGACCCGAAGCGATCACGGACAGCCGCGTACGAGGACTCGATCGAGAGAAATTCCGTGGACGTTCAGCAGATCTTGCACACGCCACCCAGCAAGCACAGATCGCTCTTTAGCCCGGAAACGCCGACGACGAGGGAACCGCACACGCAGAGTGCAAGGCCTAAATCGAAACAGAAGACGCCGCCTGTCGCAGCGGCGAAGATAAAGGAGCGCGTGTCGCCATTCGCGTCTTCTCCGACTTCTCAAGATTCGTTAGCAACGAAGCGGCCGTCTTCCAACGACGGGCCGTCTTCCAAGAAGCTTCGCACATCGAACATCGGTGAAGGCGAGTCGTCGATAAAAGTAAAACAGGAAATAAAAATGGAGGATACGTCCAGCCTAGAGGCGATGAAGATGCTCGGTCGCGTGCCCGACCTGATACAACCGATACGCGACAATCCACTGCTGCCGCCGAATGGTAAAAACAGCAGCGCGTCGTCCATCATTAATGACCTGAAGCCGCCGGAGCTCATCAAACCGTTCGAGTCGGATCCTCATCGTTTTTACGCGATGTCGCAGCATAAACCTTTGTCGATAAACATGCATATGCTGTCCAACGGTATGGATCTTAACGTCCAAATGAAGCAAGAGGCTGTGGAGCATCGTGTGAAGAAAGAGTTACCGGAACATTACGTTAAGAAGGAATCGTTGGGGCATAAGGCTCCGGAAACTTCGCTTCCCCACGTGCAGCCGAAAGTGGAGTACACGTCGCCGATGAAGTCCGTGCAAAGTATAAGCGCCTTGCTGCAAGAACCTCTCGCACCGATGCCATCGCTGTTGCAGGGCCTGCAGCAGCATAATCAAGTGTCTCTCGCTCAGCAAGTGCACCAGGAACAGTTGCAGCTGCAGCAATCACTGCAGCAATCCGTTCATCATCCTCTCATGGAACATCAGTTGCCGGTGGTGACTCAGTGCTTATCCTTGCCGATCGTGAGTGACAATCCTATACAAGTAGCATCGACGGTCGACATCAGTGCTCTCTCCTGCGTGCCATTGACGCAGCAAGCCAGCGGCAACAGCGTGGTCGAATCGGTGAGTTCGGTTGCCATGCTGACGACAGTTCCCCCGACCGAGGAGAAGCGGTCGGATCGCAAGAGCGAGAAGAAGAAGAAGAAGGAGAAGCACAAGCATAAAGACAAGGAAAAGAGCAAGGAGAAGCACAAGCACAAGCACAAGGACAAAGATAAGGAGAGGCATCGCGAAAAGAAAGACAAGGAAAGGAATGAAGACACACCAACAGCGGCACCTATCAAGATCACGATCCCTAAGGACAAGCTGAATCTGAGCACGGAATCATCGCCGACTGTGATCGGCGCAGGCATGTCGGACAAGAACATATCACCCCAGAGCACGGTTCTGAAAATAAAGATTCCGAAGGAGCGGCTTAAGGTCGCCGATAATGTGCCCGTTTCGTCGCCCGTGCAGCCACCGGTGGTGCAGGGCCCGCTGAAGATCAAGATACGCACCGACGGTATCTCGAGAAGTTCCACGGCGCCCGCGCCGTCGTCGATGCTGTCATCGTCATTGACGTCGTCGGCCAATGGCTCGAGCGGGACCGCACACTACGTGCCGTCCTCCTCCGAGTCTTTGTTCGCGAACGAAACAGGGAGTCGGAAGCGAGTCGAGGCGATTGGCGACAGCAGCGGCGGTCCGCTCGCGAAGAAGCAGACGCTGATGATGCCCGCGACCGGCTACGGCCAGGGCCACCGACCCGGAGAACGGCAGAACGGGAGACATTATAACACCGGCAGCAGTAATAAGGTACGTGGTAGAGGCGGCCGTCAGCATCACGGCGGTCGTGGTCCACCACCGCATCACGCAACAGCTGCCGGTCAGCGCGGTAGTGCCGGCGGCGGTCACTACCAGCGAGACGGTTATGGTAACGGCCGCGGCGGCCGGAACCATCATCAAGCTCCCTATCACCCCCACCAGCCCCACCATCCCCCGGCCGTGCGCGGCGACGTCGGTGGGTACGTGAGGGGTCCCGGCCGCGTCGAGCAAACCGCGGAACCGTATTTTTACGCTAACTATCCACCGTCGATGTTCAACACGCCCGCCGGGTACATGTACGATTCCGCCTATCAGCAGTACTATCAGCAGCAGTTTCAACAGCAATCTCAGGGCTACTCGATGTACCCGGCGGGCAACGGCCTGATGATTACGCCGGACGGCGCCGTCAACACGTCGATGCCACCGCCGCCGCCGTCGTCGTCGTCGTCGTCGGTGGCGGCGGCGGCGGCGGCGGCGTTGCTCCCGAATCACCCCTATTCGAATCGGAATATGATGCCTCATCAATCGGCCACGTCCGTTCGGCGGGAGGATCTGCAATCGTTGCCCCAACCGCCGCTTGCACCACCCCCCTCGCCTCCTCCCTTGCCGAACGGACCGCCACCTCCGCCTCCCCCGCCTCCTCCCTCGATGCCCGAGTAAGGCGTTTCTCGTTTGTATCGTTCGGCAGCGGTACTTTACGTGTTGGACCTAGTTAGTATCTTCTACGGTCTCTCGTAATTCGAAGATTTGCTCATAGATTTTGAATCGTTGATTGTCAAATATGAGAGTTGCATCTTTTTTTTTTTATATATATATATGTATATATGTATAATCTTGACTGTAAAATAGTTTTCTTTGTGTACATATTATCTTCTTTATGTATATATTTTGTATCAATCATCCGGTGAAGAGGAACATGTTCATTTTTAAATTCCTCGTTGTCATTTAATTAATAATTAATATTAATTACGCTTTAAGCTTGATTCTACATAACTTTTTTTTCTCTCAGATTGAATACAGAGTTTATATGAGATGAAGAGCAAACGAAAGACCGCGTACGTAGCTGAACGATACTTTCTTTTCCCTTTACATCCCTCTTTTTTTTTTTTTTGTATTATAACATTTTCAAAGTAAATTGTTCCGGGAACGATTAATTTTGATGAACTAACTTGTTAAAATTTTTTGTGCAGGCACATGTTGTGTGTATATACATATTCATATTTATTTATGAATAAAAATATAATGCTTGACGTAAGCATATTATTAGTCAACTTTGTTATATATTTTATGCATATAGTTATTTAGAAATTTTTATTTCAATATATCGCAAAATTTGTCAAAAAATCTATAAATTAACAGAAAAAATAATAATTTTTTTTGACACTAGAAATTCAAAGATATTCTTATTTAATGCATATAGCGATTAAAAAAGCTATATTCTAACAACTTGGTAGAGAATCTATAATTAAACAGAAAGAATAATAATTTTTTTAATGAGATACGTCCAGAAAATATTTTCTATGAATATATGAAAACTTTCTCGCATGTAGATTCAGATACGCGTTGAAAATATAATATAATACTTTGTTATTTTTGATACACATA